ACCTATTCGAAATTTAAATTGTTATGTCATCGCAGTATCGCGCTGTCCGTAGAACAAATGAAGACTAAAGCGGAGTGTCGCGCTCTGTATACGATTTTAGCGCCTTACAAGTGCGGACACTTTTTAGCGCGGACCCGACGTCCATATAATTGTAAGTCAATGGCAATAATACATAACTTGGTTGACAGGTTTGTCATGGTACGAATATGAGTAATATTATAATAATAAGCTTACTATAAGCTTACATTGAAATAAGTTTGTTTTTTGAAAGGTTATGGTAGGCCCACAGGCGTGTCCCCTCCCACTAAGCGCACGACTTGTTCGTCCAGTCACTTGGCACCGTAAAAAAATATTACGAGGCAATATAGTAGCACATTAATGTTATTATTTTTTTAAACTGCGGTTTCATATGAAATGCTTTTCCCCTATTCGACTCAAATATAAGGGGTAACTGATTACATGGATGTAAATATGAAATTGCCATTCTGTGGAGGAAATTTCACACTAATACAAACATTCATTTAATCACAATATCACACGTCATAATACACGTCTGCCATTTTGCCGGAAGCTTATTTATTGCTGTGCGTTACAATGAAAAAGAAACGGAAATTCACTCATTCTTGAAACTCATTTTTGATGCTTTGCGGGACTTAAGTGGATTTCCTTGAAGAAAATTATGTACATTGCTTAAATATTGGTATTCGAGGTCACTTGAGCATAGAGGGGGCAAAAAGCTTCCATGTTCAGCTCCTGCAAGATGGGGGTAGGGGTCGTCGGGTAAATCGCTTTTACGATTTAATTTACTAGCAAATACAGATTTTTGTGGTGAATTTATTATCTTATGTGATATTAATAATATAGACCTGCGAGTACATACTTACATAAGTATATTATAAATAGCCCTGGGGGCCTATCATAACCTTTCCAAAAACAATCTTATTTCAATATAAGCCCAAAGTAAGATTGTTATAATATTACTCATATTGGTACCATGACAAACCTGTCGACCAAGTAATGTATTATTGCTAAAATGATTGAAAGAACGAATGATTACCCAATATTGTCTATTCCTAAAAATAGGAAAGAAATAACGCTATATGAACTATATAATGCCATATCTTTCTTTGTTGATGCTCCGAATCGTCTTATCGTAATATAATGTTTAAGTACTTAATGTTATTTACATTCAGAGAATTTTAACTGTTAAAAAACAAAAAGTATGTAATAGTAAAATCTATTAAAATTACATTGTTTTCAATTATTTTTCCGCATTTTCATGAAGAAAAATAAATAAAACAAGCTGAGTCTTGATTGTCACGTTGTGAATTCGGAATTATAATCTAGTGTCAACTGTTAGTGGCGCCAAGGACCATATAGATGTCGCTGTCATAATTCTACGAAATAAACATAAGCGTATTTTTATTTAACGAGAAATTATTTCCTATGTACTAGTACATAAAAAAATAATCAAAATATTGAATAGATATATATAAATAAATAAGTTCAACTAAACTTTTATTTTAATAATTACTTTTATAATAATGATTAAAATCATTACAACGCAATGTTAAGACAATAAAACTGAAAATAATATTGTTTCCATTGCATCCGTGTAACTATTTTAAGATTGCTAAATTTGACGTAAGAACAATATTACTTTAAAGTCGCGTCATAGTACGAACTGAGTGAATGAATAGTAGTTTTAACATTATAATAAGCTTACTTTAAGCGCGTCATGGTACGAAAAGTCAATGTAAGGTTAAAGTAATATTGTTTTAAGAGGTTGTGGTAGGCCCCCTGTATAGAATATAGTCATTCTCCTTGGTGTTCTAAATGCATACACATCAATGTGTGTTGCCCGCTGTAGTTCGGACTATTCTTGAGAAAGTGGGTCACTATTGTAAATAATAGTAATTGCGTATTTGACATATTTGTCAAATAATCACCATGAGTAGATAGCATGTGTGACAAGGTATTTGTCTTGTTTGCATTTGTCTTATTCGACAAATCAACAACACGAAATTCGCGTTACCGCGCGCTGTCGGTTTCCAAATAGGCAAATACGCAAATAAATCGTCCACACTAAGACCACATTCGTTATTTGAACTCCTTATTCGGCTCCATGTGTAGATCATGATATTTGTCAGTGACTTGTTTGTCATGTTTGGCATGTTGGTCTGTATATCAACAAACACACCCAATAGGGAATACAAGTAAGCTATGTGAAGTGTCACTTCTCTGAGTTCTCCGTAGTTTAACAATAGCTCATAATTCGTCATTGATCTTGACGTCTGGTCGTCCACGAGGCTTATTCGCCAGGTTTAAAATTTCTAATACAGAATCGAGCAAACCAAAACCTCACAGTGGGTTCGTTACTTGGAGCCGCTCCTTATCCATATGTGTGTCGTTAATGTTTGCATAACTGCCACGAGCAGCTTGTATTGATTTTACATGTATTTCGCAGTAGTCAAGTTTAATTTCAGGACGAATGCAAAATTTACCAAAACAAAAACGCGAAGATTTCAAATTTAGAAGTCATTAATTTAATTTCAAAAAGTTTCTTATCAAAATTGTACACCAAAGCGACTATATTTCTTTTAGTGGTCAGAAATTTAGTACGGACGACTTAAGGAACTTGTTAATACCAACAGGAAAATAATATAATTGTTTTATAAACAGGGTGCTCTTATCAGCCACAGAATTTTCATTATATTTTTTTTATGCAATGAAGAAGGCAAACGAGCAGACGAGCCACTTCATAGGAGGTGGTCATCGTCGCCCATGAACATTTGCAACATCAGATGAGCTGCCTATTTACTAGTCATACCTATGTAAGAATTATTTACGGACATGCTACAGGTTGTAGGTATAACCAGCAGCCATGTGTTACCTATGCGACTTTGCAAAGTCGACAGTAAACTCATCGATCAACCTCTTTTATGAGTTGCCCTGAAGGTTTATTTTCGTTTGCACACCTTTGACGTCACGATCAGCTGTTAGAAGGTTATTCATATATACGATCATAAACATAGGATCATATATCTGCGGGTCGTACTTATATGATAGTATAATATAGAAATGTGAATATCTTTATACAGAATAAATTTACCTGTACCCTGTACCAAAGATACTTGTCAAATTTGATTATGTGGGTTACATCCCTTTGAAATTTATACTGCCGACTCTTCAGTTGTAGCAATATATATCAGGGAAGATTTTTGCAAATTTTATTGAAGTTAGCTATGGGTTATGTAACGTATTAAAGAAGAATGAAAGCTGACCCAATAATTATAAAATCAACGAAGAGCCGTGCATGGACTTGCTAGTATAATTTTAGGCTTTAGTTTATGCATAGTTATCAATACATTTTTGTATATTTTTAGAAGGCGGGAATACAGAAATTGTAAAACAATGTATTTTAGAATAAATGCAATAATACAACGATTTTTACTCAGTTCGACCATAGATTAGGTAACGTTCTTATACATACGCAATACGTACGTTTAATTTGTTCCATGATTGAATGTTTACCTAAAGTATTGGTTATTTTACAGTACACGCATAAAACATTAAAGTTTTATAATACATAGATCAAATAATCAATTAAACGTAATGACATAAAGTAAAAAATGAAACACAATGTGACTATAATGTTTAGACAATATATAAATGAGTGATAAGAAAGTTAGCAAAGAAACATTTTGACAAGAGGCATCTTGTCAATGTAAATGTCATATTGAGATTGAAAATAGTGTGAAATCTGCCTGTATTTTCAGAAACATCTGAAGCGAAATATAGGACAATATTATAACATAACTTACATCAACTTTATAACCCCAGCTTCTTATCTTAGAACAGGCTGTACTCAATTAGCTTTCTTGATGTTTTGATAGTGACAAAACACGTATGATAGGCCTCTTTAACGCACGTCATCAAAAACACTGGGTCACAAAATACTCGGGACGTCGCCATCATTCTTTTCACGCATTTTTGATCTGTGTTATGTTATGCGCGAAAATTTTGTTTATAGAACAACTAGATATTAACCTTATTTTTTGTAAAAAAGAAACAAAACTGGGGGCCTCATAGACTGGCATTTAAACTTGCCTAACTTAACATAGCCACACAAAGGCAGACTGCTGAAACCACTTTTGGCCACTCAGCCGTGAGGACAGAATTTCATCTAAGTATTTTATGCAACCCTAGTACTAGTATATACTATTATTATATCTTATTATATCAGCGGGAAGTCACTGAAACTGTTACTCGTTGTAGAATTAATCAATTTCTCTGTATAAGTTTCATTTAATTTTTTTTAATAAATCACCTGTTTATTTGGGTAGGCAAAGGTTCCACCATATAGTCTCTTCAGGTATTTAGTATCTCTCTTTGGTTTTTTTGATATCAAATAGAAACAAAATAATATTTCTTCGTAAGAAATTCCTCTACGCTGTAGAATTAATTTATCCAATAAGAGGAATTTCTGCCGGGTATTAAACGTTTCGTCGTTAGTAACACTTTTCAGATTTGCTTATTCCTTGAATCTGGGACCTATTCATTACCTTAGAGGATGGAAAAAAGCCTATTATTCGCGGGTTTCTCGTTGCTAGCTTGTTGGTTTTCGGGGCGACACTTTTTTGAGGCTTTCGGTTCATAGCTCGATTAAAAAGGAGAACGTCACCTCTTTATGTGAATTTTTATGCTACATTTTAATATTCGACCTTTTTCAGAAATCTGACATAACAAGACGTTACCATTGACTACATTTTTGACGTTGTTTTTGTAAGACAATTTAATAATATTTTGTACAAAGAAAAAAATAAATCAGTGAGTATTTGTTCAGTGGGTAAAGTAAGATATGCAAAGTAATGCAAATTAAAAAGACATATTTTTATTACTTACGGTCAAACATAATTTGTTTCGTATACATTTGTAAACGGTCTACAAGAAATGACACCTAATGACTCTCCAAAAAATGAAATCATCAGTAATGAGCCACCCAGTACTAGTGCAAAAGTTGTTACAATTTTCCAAAATAAAAGTGAAGAAAAGGATGAAGATAAAAATTTGTAAGCATTAAATTATTAACAAGTAGTTCATTCTCAACATAAATCCTAAAAAGAGTTTAAATTTATATAATTTGAAGCAACAGGGTGTTAACATGTTTTATAGGGTTTATGATATGGCTCAAGAGCTGGGGCTTTGTAGAGTTTCACCGCAGTCAGTGGCTCGATTACTTGGCGCAAATCATTAATTCTGCTAATCTTGCACGACAGATTACTTTCCATCAAATAACTCATACGTATTCTGTTGATGTTCTGTTTTCATAACGATATTCGTAGTCGATCAATCTTTACTTAGCTCACTGAAAGTCTTTCCTTAAATTTGTGTACCTCATTCTTAATATTTAAATGAATTAGAATAATGTCTTGTTTAAATTAACAAGAATATTGGTGCTACTGAATTTCCAAGATAAGCCATTCGGGCTCGCAATTTCTGTGGAATCGTAATTCAAATTTCATCAAACTTATATGGGCCACTCTGTATTAGCAATAAAAATAGTACAGCTTTACAGGATCCTTATTATCAAAATTGATCACACGCGTGAGTGACTATACGATCCGGGAGGCGCAAAGCGAGTAGGCATGTAATCGGTGCCTTCTTTAATAGCCTTGCTGTGTACTTAATTAACCTAACCATAACCCCAGATCGCTTTTTTGTATTTTATGTACCTACTACGACTATTACTTGTATATCGGAGAATAATTTAGATCTGGTTGTCGATGATCAAAATGTACTCCATACCTAGCCATTTTCGGAACCTGTACTATCAATCACCTTTCATATCTTTACTAATGGAATAATATTTTAGGACATCAGCACATCAAGAGATTGACTTGGAGAAAATTTTTATCGAAATGGGGCCAGCAGGTAAATTCCAGCTGCGCAACTTCAGTCTCATCCTAGTACCCGTCATCGTCATGGCAATGTACAACGGACAATATATTTTCAACGCTGCCAAGCCAAACAATCAAAGGTTATCGGAAAATTCTTGAATACGTTTTCGAATAACCGTAACTGGTTAGGTTTTATCTTTGGGAATGTCATCTTGAGAATTTCTTATAAATTGTAAACTATAGAATGTTTTCTTTACGAAAAGTCTGGTAGCCTTTGCTGTATTTGAATTAGAATCTTATAAACAGGTCCCTTGACAAAATCGATTTGTTAACTGCAATAATTTTACAATCAAGACCAATATCCAACAAAAAATTGCAGATGTATGGTTCGAGAATGTGAAAATACTCCGCCGGTATTTAAAACAGGGGAATGGAAGACTTGGGCAATACCAGATGATCCACAGAAAGCTCGATGCTTCCGGTATGCCAACCAAGAAGGCCAATGTAAGAAAGAATCCTTCAGTAAAGATCTTATGAAATGCGACAGTTGGTTATACGAGGATTACAACTCTATTGTCGCTGAGGTAATACTAGATTTATCTTTCTATCACTATTAAATTCATGACCTATTTTGTAAGAGGTTCGCTTAAAGGATTTCCGTAATTTGCTCAGATTGGCGTAATTTTGCTCAGATATCTCATTTAACTAATACTAAATTGTGTTTCAAAGTCGCTAGTTGGGTTGATAGATTACAAGACTAAATATGAAACTAAGCAAACCCGGTTTTCAGTTTGATTTAGGATGCCAAGAGTGGAAGCGTACTTTAGTAGGTACTATCCACGGCCTCGGTTTGATGACTGCCCTTGCATTTATTGGAACTTTGTCTGACCTGTACGTGAGTTCACCACTACCTTTATTTTATTTTGGTATTTTTTTTGTAATTTAAATAGCACTTTCAATAATGTACCGTTAAATTTCGAAATAAGTGAGTTCACAACGAAACAGTTTTAGTAATATTTGGAAAATTGAAGTTTGTTTAATCTCTTCGTTAGTCAAGAACTTACCCGTTACATTACGTATTTAAGATGTGGACGACGTTATACTTTTATCGTCACATCTTCATTGCCGTCGGTGTTGGGAATAGTGCGGGGCCTCTCAAACAGCTACTACATGTATTTGGCCTTTGAATACCTTGAAGCGTTGGTTGCCTCTGGCTCGTATAGCACCGGCTATATCCTAGGTACGGCCGTTATCAGGTATTAATAGAATAAAAATTTGTTTAGTACGTCTGAATACTTCATATACTAAAAATACGTCAAAATAGACTATTTCCCATTGTAATGGACTCATAAATGTAATTGTGGGCAAAGCAAATAGCACACGTCTAAGTTCACTGAGGGAATTCATAAAATGTGATGTTTGGAATCCCCAAAACCTCTTCAGTTCCGTGGCTAAAGAGAGAGTATAATATTAGAGGAAAACATTTAAGCGTGCCGTGTTTTAAAATTAAGACAAATCACAATATGACAGATGACGTATTCAATCGTCTCATTATTAATATTATTATTAGGTGGCCTTATTTAGGGTATACATAGCCCTTCATCATTGCAATCTTCAGTTGATCTAATGTGGTCACCAGTAGTTACAATCCAGAGTCAAGATGAATTTTAAAATTAAAGAACTTAAAAATTCTCCTAGCTTCGACTGCCCATCAATGGTCAATATCGGGTGAGGAATTGCAAAGGAGATCTTTGTGGCCGAACTTACATTCTCTACTGTCTTTTAGCTTAGGACATGTACTTACAATCCTGTTACATTGTCCCGTTAAAGCTTTGATTAGCATTTCGATGCCGTTCCTGTCCAGTGCTCCGATATTGTCTACGGTGGTAAGCACTATAGTCATCAATCTTGACCATCCAATGTCGAGACAATTGGTCTGCAGCACAGTACAGCTAAAAAAGATATTAGTCAATCATCTCGAGCGGACTACCGTCAGAATAATTGTAAACTTCTATTACGGTGAAACTGTATGTCTGATCTATATTTGTTAACTTTTGTTGCAGCACTTGAAATGATCGGGGTAGAAAAAAGAGTTCTCGCCTCAAGCTGTTTGTCCTGCTCCTTCGCAATTGGACAAATATTACTTGCTTTTCTTGCTTGGATATTACCTTACTGGCGCAATCTGACTTTTTTACTCTACACGCCAGGAATTCTATTCGTTACTTATTACTTTTGCCTAGTAGAAAGTGTACGGTGGTTAGTGAGTCAGGGAAGAAAAAAAGAAGCAGCCGATATTATTTTTAAAGGTGCTGCTGTAAATAAAAGAACGTTACCGCCAGATACCATTGCTTATTTGGAAACTATGAGCTCAGTGGTACCGATTAAGACAAGAAAGAAAAGTATAATGACCGAAACAAAGATAATATTCCGGTCCCGAATCTTGTTCAGCCGGTTGATCGTAATCTCCTTCTGGTTTGCTGCTGTGACCTTTATTTACTACGGGTTGTCGATTAATGCAGTATCGCTAACTGGCAATCAGTACCTCAATTATGCACTATTGTCAGTGATCGAGATTCCTGGTTATATCATTAATATCTTTACCCTAGATCACTTCGGCCGTAAGAAAACAATTACAAGCTCGTACCTCATCAGTGCAACTGCATTGACAATTATGCCTTTCATCATAAACATGGGTGAGTGCTCGCGCTGTATGTATACATTATCTAGAGTAAAATATTTCAGAAATATTTTGTTTATAGTCGTTTGTATGTGCACCTTCAAGTATTATATAGATTTTATATATTAAATACTCTCAAATTCTTTCTCATGTTCAGCACGAATTTCCAGTTAAAGTAATTAGCTCATCACTCACTTTAGATAAACGGCAAAAAAGAAATATTTTATAGGCATTAATTTTCATATTACGTTAGGTAAGTATGGCCGCAACTGCGGTCATACACTTTCAATGGAAGCTGATACAACGCATAGATTAGTCACTAACGCAAGACTATGTTTGATACGACCTGTTCATACTGATAGATTACAACGTTTCGTGTAGTCGTTTGTAACACGCGACTTGACTGCAACGCATGATCATCAAGCTGCCTCTGTGGCCGAACGGTTACCATGCCATGACTGCCACGCAGAAGTACAAAGTTCGATTTCCGGTTCGGGAGAATTATTTGTATGGCCTACATTTATGTCTCTCGTGAGTTTGGGTGTAATTTATGGTTGTCTATGCATGTGTGTCCATGGCACCCGCGACACAGGGTTTCCCTAGTGGAGCTATGTTGAGTGTGAGCGTTATTATTATTATCTTATGATCGAATTCGCCGATGTTCATTGGATGGGCCGTGGGCCATATTCTCCTCCACAAATGACTGTTATATTTCTTCTATTAATCGTTATTTGTTATCAGGACCTTTTCCGACAATAATGGTGCTGGTTGCAAAGATGTTTATCAGCATTGTCTTCTCTGCAACGTACTTGTACGTCACAGAACTGACTCCAACAGAAGTACGACATACAATGATGGGTTTGAGCCTATTTATAGGACGACTTGGTAAAAGTAGCGCACCACTCTCACCTCTGCTGGTTGGTTAGTCTCCTTATAATATTATGAACCCTTTGATATAATATCGACGGTCAAAAGGCGATTTGACTAAAGTGACATTTTGGGCGATGTTGATTTACATACACATTGGAATCAGCGATTTTTGTCGCGTCTATTTATATGTTACACATCAATTGAAGCACTTTTTTGGCGTTTAACTCCATCGCGAATTCGCGGGTCATATCCTACATCATAGTGTCAAGCGACATAATTTTCGCAGTTTCTTTTTTAATTAGGAATATGAGTTTACTGTAGTAGGCTCATAATTTATGTTCATGTCTATTCTGCCGTTTCTCCTTGTGTTTTTTAGGAAAACGTATTTTGATCCTTTCTTACCTAGTCCACAGTTGATTACGATTATACAGGTTCAAGAGCACGTCAAGCTTTACACTTAAGACTTAAATCCAACTCTAAGCCGCTTACGATAAGAACGGTCCAAAGTACAAAGTGTCAAGCTTGATGTGCTCTCGACTGTACCATTTTGTTTCATAAATATTTTATAACGTACGATATTTGAATTGTTGTATAATAAACCTATATTCGCTTTAACGTCGCTTGATTCCTTTTACTTTGAACCGATATTAGGTTCGACGTCACTTTATTCTTTTTACTTTAAACCGATATTAGGTTCGACGTCACTTGAATCCTTTTACTTTAAACCGATATTACGTTCAACGTCGATTGAATGATTTTACTTTAAACAGTTTCGGAAAACCAAGTCGCTTATGTTGTTTCTCCCTGTTCAACATTGATTGATTGATTGGTTGGTTTAAGCAATTTTCTGAGTGTTAAGTAAATAGTCTTATGGTTAAATAAATTTTGGTGAAATTACACATGGCAACATATACAATACAAATTTATAATTACAAATTAGGCACATGGGACTTGTCATCTTATGTGTCAGGGTGATCCCTCAGATCTTTGCGATTTAAAGCTCTAAGTGGCAGTGCAACTGTTATGGACAGGCGTGTAGCTTACCATCAGGCGCACGATCTTGTTCATCCCGTCACTTGATATTATAAAAAAAAGTCAAAACGGCTGTTGACCAGTTTATCTTTTTACCTATTTTCCCAAATTATAAAAATTTGTCGTTATGTTTGTAATGTTTTTTTAATTGAAATAACGGAAAAATAATTGAGCACAAAAATAATGTTTTATTTATAATTGCATTGTAAGAATTAAATTCTATAACAGTATTTAAACTATTTGGTTCTTACAAAATCGAACAACTCAAAGAATAAAACGTATAACAATAACCAAAACACTTGTGTTTTTTCTATTTCATCTGTCTTTTTAGTTACTTTCCTTTTTACTACCCAAAAGCATCGTCGCCATCGATTCATTTTGCCAGACACCAGTTTTTATAAATCTTGTACATAAACCTATTAGCTGTATCCCATGACGGCGTTACTTTTTAACTTTAGTTATTTTCCTTATACAAATTGGAATCCTTGTGACGTATGAGCATTTTTACCTTAATCTATTATATTTGTTCCTTCTTACCGCCAAATCCTTCTGCCTTGTCCAGAAAATAGTGCAATAAGCCTCAAGCGAACCTTAACTCAGTGAAAAATACTCTCTTATCTTTGAAATGCATCAAATAATAGAATCATACATATTTTAATATATATAAGAGATTCACCTTCTTTCGTTGAATACATTTTGTACAGTGCAATATTTCTCAAACAAGAAATTTCTAAAGAGCTCTCCTGTAAACCTGTAAACCAAAATGTCGCTTAAATCAAGTCGCCTTTTAACCGTCGATATGCATGTTTTAAAAAGCTACTTAGCGGTAATTTAGCAGTTATATTGCTTAATTCGTGTGCCACTGTACACTAGTGATAGCTGTCTCTATATCTAAAGAATGAATTAAGACCAGGTTCTGTGTTCTTCGATACAGAGACAGTTATAATAGAACACGAGCATTTTCCTCAGTTGCAAGTAACGCCTTATCTACCATACGCCGTGTTCAGTGCTGCAGCTTGGATCGCAGCGGCACTAACTCACTGGACCCCGGAGACACATAATATGAAAATGCCACAAACACTGCAAGAGGCTGAGCATTTAGAACCAGGGTCATCATTTTTGGCTCTTCAAGAACATCAACTTTCGTGTACAAAACATGAAAAAACAGCTGAACATAAGCAATCTTAACCAAAGTTGATTTAAAGCGTTAATAATGATTTAATTCATTGATCCAACTAACTTAAACAACGAATTTTGAGTTTAAACTCTGGGTCAATAGATCGAAGTGAGGTTGAAAATGTAGTATGATCGTATATGTTACAGTCCGTTTCTTAGGTTGCCGGACGAAAGAGAGATCACAATATTTGTACTCCAGACTGTCATTCCGCTTTTGCAACTGTCGTTAATAAATTTTTTCCAGCTTAAAATAGTTAATTATATAATTTTTAAATAGAAAGTAGAGTTTCAAGAAACCAATCAATCGTAGTGGCCACCAAATTACTTTACTGACATTGGTATTTTATACAATGAATAAAAAGCCGAAAAGTACGCATTGAGTGTTAGGTACGGCACTGCGTCTGTTGAAATTTAACTCCGTAATTTTTGCATTTTCAATTCTTAAAGATTGTTTTGTTGATTGGGCGTGCGGTTAGGTATTAATGTGGTGGTAGTGGTTGTCTGTCAATGTAGTGTGTAGTGTTGTATGCAGCAAATATCAACCGCCTGCTGTGCGTGAAATTATGGTAAAGTTAAGATAAAAATATAAACTAACCTATTAACCTTAACGGTGAGACCTCAAGAGACGTTCCAATGAATTATCTAATAGTGTAGCCCTACAACCTAACCGTGTGTAGCCTAACCTAACCATAAATATATATACGGAGATTTATATGTATATGCAGGATATGAACGGGAAGTCTGTCACTATGAGACCTAAGGTGACAAACGGAAGGTTGGAAGGAGGTAAGAAAGTACATGTCGTGCAATGTGTACTGGAATGGTATTTTCACTGCCGGTCAAGCAGACTCACAAGACCCATCTACTGTCGGCTAAGGGTGTCTTGGCCACAGTGAGAGGAGTAGCGGGTAGTACTAAGCAGGATGATGAGTTTGATGAGTTGAAATCAGATGGTAGTGGATAACTAACTTAATATTTACAATTCTTATTACTATTTATATAATTTTTATGACTAATACATAATGATAGGTTTTTCTTAGTGTGCTATGTGTTTTGGTTGCCGACGATGCTCTTTTCTGTTAAGTAGTTAATTATGTTACTATGTTGCACTTCTTGCCTGATGGTGAGGCCATTTTTTGTGACAGTTTAAATGTATGTTACGATCTTGCGTTTTGTTGTTAAATACATGATGTTCAAAGTTGAACAAATCCTTTGACAAAATAGTTGAGAGTGATTGGTGGAACAACAATGCTGAAATTACAGGACTGTGCTTTCAGCAAATGTGGAATAAGGTTGAAAAATTTCATGCGTATCTATTATCATGTTTAATATACGTATTTTTGGCTGTTTATGTTATAGAGCTGGAAGTGGTTTCTTTGGTCAGACTATTCTAAGAGATCTTAAGAATTATCCCGAATTTTTTAGACGATCTTAATAATAGAATACAATAAAAGTGACCCAATACAAAATTTCGTCTTTTTGGAAATACGCAAAATAATTTTTGAAGTTGTGTCTTTTCACATAATTTATTACTTAGAAAATGAACGTGAAACATTTAGCTTTGTATCCTCAGAAATTGTTTCTGATTATTTTAATATTTAACAATTTCAAAATATAATTCACAAAAACTAGTCGTCATAAGGTCACTTTTTTATTAAACTTTACTTAAATCTCATTCATTATCACCAACTTAGCAAGGTGTGGCCTTAATAGAAAAAAAAGAAGAAAAGGATTAAGCCGACGAAGATGAAGCCGTTTCAATTGTGAATGAGAATCGTCTAAGTAATAAAGTAAGTTTTGTTTGTAAAAAAATATGCTGATTTATAAATTAACAACCTTATGAACAATTGCTTTTAAAATCGTTTTACGGTATAAACTTATTTTCTTAATTTTTTGAATTAGGTCATTTTCATTCTAAAGGTGCGTTAGATAAATAAAGTATCATTAAATTTGACTTTTCTAGAAAGTTATTGTGAATGATGTAGAATAATGTAAAACAAATACCACCCAATCGACGTGGGCTAGATATATACATTTAATTAAAATAAATTAGTAGGTATCAAAACTGGATTGTAGGTATATTAATTTCACGTGTTATACATACTGGTATTGATATACTTTCAACCCTAACATGGGTCGGCATAAACCTACATCCTACAAGTTTTATATTATACATTATGACTGGCTTTAACACCTTGTTTGTCTTACAAATTACCAAAATAAAATTATGTGTGCGCATACGTGGTTAATTTTCAGAGCATTTTAATTTCGCCTGACGACCGTTCTGTCTCGTCGGCTTTTACAATAATGAGAATAATAACTGCCTCAGACTTGCGGTGTAATAACACATGTACAATTTATAGTTACAATGTGTTATCGAATTAAAAGAGAGTTCTTTTTATTAATTAAATAAATCGCTTTGTTACTTAGAACCATTTTCCTTCATTGTTTGGCACGGACTTCATATACAGGGTGGAAAAAATCGATGGGACTCGTAGGAAAACTACTTCAAGATAGCTAAGTTTACATGTGCCTCTAATTTCACCAGCACCCCTACCCTTGAAAACTGGAACGCAGTAATGCTCAGATTACTGTTTGGCGACAGAAATAAGTAAAGTGGCAGTACTTCCCTGGACGCATTCTTTCACAAGGAGCAATATTGCTACTAAATTAACTTACAATTAAAGAAGTCCATGAAGCCTAACATTATTACCGACTAATACGCAGGACACGTAGATATTAACAACTAAATAAACAAATTACTACCTTTTTGCAAGCTTATACTTACCTAGATTTTATTCTTATCATGAATCCTATTGATTAGTACAAAAGCAGTGAGTGTTTATTTTTTGCATTTATAGTTGGTTCGACGTTGGTTGGCCAGACTCTCGAAGCACGAACTCCGTCGTTACGATCGTTTTCCCACTTTGGAAGACCAGACTTGAGTTTCGATCGGGGCCAGAACTAAGAATGTATGACAACGAGATTAACAGTTTCAAACTGGCCCGTCTTTTCGTTGACAGACTTCGAGAGCAACTGCGGATTTCATATATCGAGAGCAGGGTTCCAGGTACAGGTAAACTTAAAAAAAAATTGTTAGTGTAGGTAGTTGTTTGTATCAAGAAAAATTAAACAATGTTTCCTTTAAGTAAAATTACCAATTTTAAATACTTAAGGTTCCCTTTCACATCCCATAATTAATTTACACCCTATATATAAAGCCGGCTCCACGTTAAAACTGTACGGTTTGTGTAGACTGAGGGCCCACATGATTTTTGCCAGTCGTAATAACTGGAATGTTCAGTATAAGTTTTAAAGCATTTTGTAAAACGAATCCTCAAATCGCACAATAAACCAAATACTGTAGTAACCATGGGCTAATAACTGAAAAGGACTGCTACTAAATAAAATAAATACCTACTCTTCATGTTACCCTTTCAATGGTAGTTTATTGATTTAATGTTGACAATTTATTGCTCAATGCCAGGAAGACGAAAGTGTGTTAAATTTGAATTACCTAATGTAAAATCGACTAGCCTAATCATGGAAATAAATGGAGAAAAGTTAGACCTTGTTAAGAAAAGCTGTCTTTTTGGGAGTGACCTTAGATAGTAAACTCCAATGGTTTCCACATATATCTTCCTTGGCCAGCACATTAAGCTCTGCTGCACGCAGTCCGTAGAATACGTGAACTTACCGATGTTGCCACTGCTAAACTAGTTCAGTTACTTCCATAGTATAATGTCCTACGGGATTCTCATGAAGGGTAAAGCGGAAGATATACAAACCATATTCGTGTTGCAAAAACGAGCTATTCGTTCTGTGTACCATTTAGGTTCTCGGATTATTCTCAGCGAAAAGTTTATGGAGCCTGGTATCACATGACTGATATTTATTTTGTATGCCCGTAAAAATATACATAATTTCGTTAAGAAAGAAGATATCCAAAATATTAACCTTAGAACAAAGTGGTATATTATTATAAATGTCAACACACATTTTTAAATTAAAATAAAAAGTATTTTCAAAATTACAACTGGTAACTTATTTAGTAAAAGTCACCAAACTGCTGTGCAGTTTGTTGGCGACTAGCGCATTCTTACTTAATTATACCTACTTTACTGGTATATAACATTATATAGTATTAATTGTACTTACTAAATAAAATATAAAAATTACTTTAAGGGGTACGCCTTTAACCTACATTTTAGTACATATCGACTTTTAACTAACTGTCAAGTACAAATCTATTCCGGTTTCTGCGGATTCTAGTATTCACGTTACTGGCTTTAACAAATCAATCTATCAAGCAATTTTAACTGGTAACTTATTTTAAGTCACCAAACTGTTATACAGTTTGTTGGCGAAATGCGCACTCTTACTTTTTTTTAACGCACTGACTCAAGATTGCCCTACCTATACTACTTTACTGGTATATATCATTACATAGTATTAATTGTACTTACTAAATACAATATAAAAACTACTTTAAGAGGTACATTCAAAGTTCTGTTAAAATTTCTTCAAAATGAAGCGAACTAATGAAGATGGTCTTTGATCCAACGTTTAAATTCGGCAGTCCTATGATTTCCAATCATTCTTTCTTCCTTTTTTCATTTGTAGGAAAACTTGAAGTAATAAAAATAATAATAATAAAACAATATAAACCTCGTAGTAAATTGATTTAATAACAGAATATCGATAATATGTATGATTACAAGTTCAACACTATCTTAAAATAATCGTTAACAACAATCATCAAAATATACAAACGAACAGGCAATCTAAAGTAACAAAAGCAACACTTGGCAAGATTTATAAATAAACTACTTAAATAAGTCTAATTACATGAAATATTTGAGCTATTGTGTGATTTATAGACAAAAAAATAACACATGCCTGTGCAATGTAACATTCGATTGATTTGCACTTTTTCTAAAGCCACATCCCTTAATGCTGCAGCGTCGCATTTTTATTAATACCTAATTATTCTCACTGTCAATATTTTTATCCAATTTAATTATAATATTAGGGGTTAAAGTATGAAATTGCCGTTTTATTGCAATAGGTTCTTTGAATTTTCATAGAATCTTCATGGTTTGAGGTTTTCGAATGAAACTTTTTTCAAATGGTTTCTGTGATTTTTTTTTTTTAAATTTGAAACATTTGAATATCGACTTTCAATTGTTTTTGTTATTCAATTTAGACAAGAAAGATTGATACTGCGAAAATTCGAGTGATTTTTGAATACGAGTTCCGACGCGGAACTAACGCGGCAGAAACAGCCCGCAATATCAATGCTGCGTTTGGAGAGGGGTCTACTAATGAACGCACCGTGCGATTTTGGTTTAAACGCTTTCGTGATGGAAATTTCGACTTAAAGAACGAGGCACGAGGAAGACCGCCCACACAGGTGAATAACGATGAATTAAGAGAGATAGTGGAAGCCGATCCTAGTCAAACTACCCAGGAATTAGCGGCATGGTTTAACGTTACCTTACCCACAATATTGACTCACTTGCGTCAAATCAATAAAATAAAAAAATACGAAAAATGGGTGCCTCATGATTTGACTGATCTGCAGAAAGAAACGCGTGTTGAAACTTGTGTTGCCTTGTTGAACCGGTACAGAAATGAAGGAATATTGGATCGAATTGTAACATGTGATGAAAAGTGGATTCTTTATGATAACCGGAAAAGAAAAATGCAATGGCTGACCCCAGGTCAAATGCCACAACAGTGTCCTAAAGCAAAACTTACCAATAAAAAGGTAATGGTAACTGTTTGGTGGTCTCAGCATGGTGTTATTCACTATAGTTTTCTCCGATCTGGTCAAGCAATAACGGCAGATGTCTATTGTGCCGAACTCCGAACCATGTTGACAAAACTAGCAGTAAAACAGCCCCGACTCATGAATCGATCTTCACCATTATTGCTCCACGACAACGCGAGACCTCACACAGCACGAGAAACCATTTTGACCCTTCAGGAACTGCAGTTAGAAACCATTCGTCATCCTCCGTATTCACCAGACCTTGCTCCAACGGACTACCATTTTTTTCGTGATTTGGACAATTATCTACGTGACAAGAAGTTTTCTTCCCAGGAGCCAGTACAAAATGCTTTCACACAGTTTGTGCAGTCTAGATCGTCGGAGTTATATCGCAAAGGCATTAATAACCTTCCCATTAGATGGCAGCAATGTATAGATAATAATGGCAACTATTTTGATTAAATAAATTTGTTAAAAATTTAAAAAATAAACAATTTAGATTTTCAGTACAAATCGGCAATTTCATACTTTAACCCCTATTACATGCGAGTAATTCAATAGTACATTTGGAAAACATTTGTTTTGACATTTGATGTACTTCCCTTTGACAACGGTATCATGTACCTCATGTACTGCGAAATGGACACGGTTGGCATTTAAGATG